TCTTTAATTGCCCTGCCTATCCCACTCACTTCAAAAGAACTATGATTACCGCCCATAAAATTAGCCGAATTTTTAAACCTCGAGTTAGAACTGGATTAGCAAAATTCAAACAAAATATTTGAAACTGTTACAACAACAAGAACAACTGCAGTATGCAATGTTCTCTCGTCCTGACAGGCCCATCCATTGCAGTTAAAGATCATCGGCTGCCTCCTAGACATCTAGGTTGTTTCGGATCAACTACGTTCATGATGGTGCAAAAGTTGAAATTTGTATTAGGCGCAAATTGAATGAATGAAGGTCACAATCCCGCTCTATGGATCTAAAAACTATTTCTATTCTATTCTATTTGGAGCCCTCTTGTAGTTCCGTAACCATTATTTTTGTAATCCCCTCCTTAATATTCAAAATTAAATATCTCATGCATTTTAAACATGTTTCTTTTGATTTCATCCTTTACATTGAAACATTTGACGAATTCACGATGGAAATCATGTCTTTGTTCAGTTCACGATATTTCTCATCTATTTATGGTATATATATATGGTATAGGGCAATACCAATGGACTTGTCCTCTAAAGACAGCTAAAAGCGAAAATGTTTGCAGAATAAATTGTATTTTCGTTTTACTTGCAAAAATAATCAAATGTGATTCAGATAACTTGCACCTTGGGGCAATACCATGGTACAATGAAGAGAAGGTAGGCCAACTTTGAAAAAATTGCAAGTATAGAGGTATACCTGTTTGGCTTGTAATGTCAGAATTAGTATCAAAACAATAAAAAAATCAAACAACTTGTTGCATTTATTTTTAATAAATAATTGAAATCCGCGATAACTGAATGAAAGGTCAACACTTCTTTTCAAAACCATGTTCTATAAATCTCTAAAGGATTATTTCGCTACAAAAACTCTAGATTTTGTCGATGAATACGATGAAATAAACATTTTGAAAACACCCGAATTTAAATATTTTCTAAACATTTTTTTTTGTTATTGAAAAGAAAACAAATACATAAACAAATAAAGATGACATATTAAGCCAAAAAAAAATTAAAATCATATGGTATCATAGCCCTACCTTGATATCATTGTACCATGGGTACATCTATCCTGCACTCCATCAGTGACTCTCATTCAAAATTTATTCAGAATACTAGCTCATTCCGTTTTTCCAATACAAAGTATTTTTTTAATAGCCTCAACCATAGTATGGAGGGTATATTAAGATTGTCATTCCGTTTGTAACACCTCGAAATATACATTTTAGACCCCAAAAAGTATATATATTCTTGATCAGCATAGAATTCTATGTCGATTTAGCGATGCCCATCTGTCACTGAAATCACTCTGGCTTCCGAACGAAATTACATAAGTTGATATTTTTTTTTTTTTTGTATATTATGTCTGCAGGCCTTTTGGTATGGAAAATGGGCCATGTAGATAATGGTACCTACCTATTTTTGGTGTTTTGGTGATTTAAGCGACATTATTCCCCTGAATTATTTCAAATTTGGTATTTAAAGGTCGTAATGGACAGAAAATTGTCCGTGCAGGTCCACGTCATCTTTCCGATATTCGGTATTTTGATGAAATTGTTACAAATTTGGTATTTGAAGTTCGTAATGGATACTACAGCCTATGACAGAAAATTGTATGTGCAGATCCATGTTTTGGTATAGCCCCCATATAATGGTACCTCTCTATATTCGGTATTTTGATGATTTTAGCTACATTATTCACCGAATTTTTTCAAGTTTCGCATTTGAATATTGTAATGGCTTATGACAAAAGTTGCCTATGCAGGTCCACGTCGTCGCACATACCCTAATATACGGCTACATTCCGTATTTTTAAGATTTTAACCGAATTTTTAACGGATTTTATTTTTTTGAAAATTGCCAAATTTGTACCAATTGGTGGAGGGTATTCAAAGTTCGGCCCAGCCGAACTTACAGCTGTTTTACTTGTTCATTGTACCATGGGCAATACTCAATTTTGCCTATGTGATTGCCTAATCAAAGCTAACTGAAATATTTTTATTTCATTTCTTAAATCTGCGTACTATTATTGGCAGAACTAACCTTCAATAACAATATATTGACATTTCCTTCTTGCTCCTACCAGACATTTACAAAAACATCAAGTCAAAGGGCAACAAAACAAAGCATTTCTGAACAAAAAAAAGCAATTGGAGTATTGAAAACTTTTGCCGGTAGAAATCAACAAAAAAAAGCATGACATACCACCAACAAACAGCAGCAGCGCGAAGCAGCGCAGTTCCGGTAAAATGACAATATAAAAAGAAAGAAGAAACAAAACAAAACGAACAAAACAGATGTAAGCGAATAGCGTGGATGACAAAAACGAAACAGCCCTATTTTATTTTTATTGTACCCATTGTTGTTGTTGTTGGACATGCTTGAGTATGACTGCTGCTAGCTGCCTGGCTTTTTTTGTTTAAAAACAAACAAAACAAAATGTAAATTTCTTTAACAAATCTGTTGTAAACAAATGTGGGCGAGAACTATAAACTATTGGCCCGAACGCCAACCTGCTTTGGCGCAGAATAAGAAACCAAAAAAAAAACGAAATTCATTTTGACTTTTCTCACAAAATACCCCAAAACATGAGCGACAATAGTTCAGCGATTTTTGATTTAAACGCAAATCGCAACTGTGACACTTAAATTCCAATTATTCCGGATTGATAAAAGCAATTGTTTCTTTAGCATTATTGGCAGATTGTAAAACGTAATAAGATGGCAACAGGCAGGACGGCGTTTAAGCCATCTTCAAACTTATAAAATGACAGCAGCACATCCACACTCAGAGGCATATGGAGCGTACATTGCAAAACATCTGAATGCAATGAGACACGAGTCACTCACTGTTCACAATAAAATGCAACCCCAGTGCCAGACCATGGCACCTATTGCTTTTGCAAACATTGCACTCGCCTTCGGTCTGTGTGTTGTGTGGTGGAAGCGGGGAATCACAGTGATCCACTAACATGAATTTATCATCATTGACGTATGCCTACCACACCACAAGGCACTTGAGCGACGGGAGGGTCGCAACGGCAGTCTATTTGTTGGTTCCTTGTCTTTATTCCCTATTGACTTACCTTAGAATGAATAAAAATACACCGAGATGGTTGATCTTGTATCCCAACTAGACGTTGTTCACTAGATTATTCGTGCTGCTTCTTATTTGAATTGTTTGTTGTTTTTCTTGACGACGATATCATACTGGCTTGTGGTGGCAAACATCATTTTCATTTAATACTTCGGGTCTGTTTTCCTCACTCGATGAAAACACTATCATATGAATTGAATTGAATGTGTTCCGAATTCACAAAGCACTTTTGGTTTCTTGATAAATTCACAAAAATACACACAGCCACGGCCCATAGGCTCTTTTCTACCGTGCACCTACTATGTACGGACGTTTTTTATATCTCTCTTTGCGTTGTGGCCTATCTATCTATTTGAGGCCAGAATATAGTAGCAAAACTTAATCTGTTTTGGCCGTTTTTGAATTGATTGGATTTTTATATTTGCTCTGTCTGCTCCAATCGCTCACACACACGCACTCCTTTATTTTAGCTTTTGCAACAAATAGAATAGAATTACATAGTGTGGGTAAAAAAAATTGACGACTTTCTGGAAACAATTCCACTGCACTCGCACTCGCGTCCACCAATTGTAATTCTCTGCGAAGTCTGTGTAAATTTGTTCACTAACGTCTTCGCTTATGGGCTTTATTTGCAAATTCTTGCAGAAATTTAAATAAATTTTAACAATTAATGCACAGTACGTCGCGGATTTTTTTACTTTATTTTTATCTATCATTTACACTATTGACATTTTGTTTTGTGCTATTAATTCGTAAATCGGTGAATTACTATTATCGTCTGGTTGAAACGTTGTTATCGATAACAATTAGTTGCCGTACATAAGCGCTTGGCGTCGCTTTTGGTGATTTTGGTGGCGGAATTTTGTTATCAGAAAATGTCATTCCAAATTGACTCAAACGTTATTAAAATTAATTATTTCTTTAAAATATATATATTGTTTAATAATAATAACAAATTTACAATATTTTTCCTTTCAAAATTTATTTTGAATGTGTTTTGCAAGGTATATTGTCGTCAGCAAGTTTTCAGAAAATTTGAAAAAAGAAGAAAAATTGGCAATTTTCTAGCCAAAATATCGTAATAAATTATGTTTTTTTTTTTCTTGTAAAATAGTAGAAGATATTTTCAAAGATATATGACTTTCAATAACAGTTTGTTATTCAAATCAGTAAAGACGTTTTTATACCCTTAGCCATATGGCTAGTTATACCCTCAGCCAAACACTCCTCATCGAAATAACAAACATGTCAAAACAATAAAGATAAACTCTTTCTAAACATTCTGACGAACTTGACCTTGTTTTTTACAAATATTTTCAAATCAAAATTTTTTCGTACGACATGCCAAACAAGTCAGCGATTTTTTAGAACTTGCTATATCTAAATAATTCTCACAACCAGAAACCTGAGATGAATATGGAATTTATGATTTCGCATAAAATTGGATATACAGGGTGAGATAAAAAAACTGCACATCTACAAAGTCAAAAGTCATAATTTTTACATTTTTTTTTTAAATTTTATTGAATGAAAGCAAAAAATGTCGAAAATAGCATCAAATATTAGAATAAGTTTAGATTTGTTCGAATTAATCACCTTTGGCACCAATTATGGCCTTCAACGCTGCCCGAATGTTGCTCTGCGGTATTTTGGCCCTGCTTGAGGTGATCCACACTTTGGTATTTTTTATTCTGATGACACGGTCGATTAATACGAGCGGAGAGCGAACATCGGCTGTTATGGTGACCCACACCTTCACCACTTGTGGTTTTCCAGCCAAATATAAAGAAATCACACTATCACGCTTGAATAACTTTTTTCTGGAAAATTCTCACCAAAATACTTTTGTATGCTTGTAAATAATATAAGTTGTGTTCCAGAACCTAAAAGTTAGTACTAATTAGTGCTAATTCTACTACAACGCGTTCCCGTACTCCAAAAACTAGCAAAACTTGCAGCTCTCTCGAGAATAAAATGGCGCTGAGTGGTGCACATTTCTGCTTGTTTTAGCTACATGAATTTGGCCGAGCAGAAATGTGCAAATTGTAAATTTGACATTTAATTGGCAGGGCTAACAAGGTTGAAAAATGTATTAATACATTTCAATGTTCGCGCGTAACAACAAATGTAAAGAAAAAAGATTAACTTAAAAAATAAAGAATAACTAATATTTGTCGTGCAAAAAACAAAAAGAGAAAATATGGAGCAACTGATGTATTCACTTTTGGATGATTCCAGCAGTAAAGAGGATTGGCTGAATGCGGAATCAGACGAAGAAAACGTATTGGAAAACAGTGCAAAATTAGTAAAAGGTAAATTGGAAATTAAGCTTAGAATCAAAGTCGTTTGCTTATTACTGCGAACATTTTCTTTTTATTTTTTAGGTTGGCTGTCTTCCTAACTTGTAGCATTAAGTCTTCTTGCAGACTTAACATTAATTTAACCGGCGCCCCCAACCATGTGAGCTTTTCCGGGTTGGGATTTGAGAAAACTCCACCTCTAAATACTCTTCAACGCATTCTGAAAACAAAACTTTCTAAATAAACACCATTCAAAAATAATTATTAATTTTAATTTATTTTCAATACTCATTTTTAAATTTTGGCGTCCATTTCAGTAAGGTTTCACTAGTCCGATTTAGACTGTTTTCTTTTGGAATTTTGAATGTTGACATTTTAGCACATTTCTGCTAATTTTCCGTTCCCTTATTTTTTGAGCACACCTAAATGAGAATGGCATTTCGTACTGTTCTCTCTTCTGCTAGTTTTACTACTAAAAAAGTACTGGAACACAACTATAATGAGCTGTCACTGGAATAATTTTAACAGCTGTCGGACGAGTGGCTTAGAAATGACAGGAGTCTGAAGTTGGTTGCTGTTTTTTCATCTCACCCAAATGTTCAATATTCTTGTATTCCGATTACGCCATAGATCCTGATAATTAGTCTGTTCCAGAACTGCAAGAATGTAAATTTTTTACTTAGTCTGTTGCAGTACCAGCAAGAATCAATTTTCTTCTATATCATAATAGATGCAATATATATCATAAAATATGTAATGCGAAGACGTCAAGCTACTTATGTGCCCACAACGTGATGGTTTTTCAAACACAAAGGCGATTTTACCTTCTGTTTAATGGACTTTGAACCAATACTATAAACAGACAACTCTCAAAATGTCCCTCTGTTTTACAAGAACATTGCATAAAAGGCATGGTAGAAGAATACAGGTAGATCCATCAACGCTTTAGAACATTGATATGTCAAAATTTTTAATTTTTTTTTAAATAAGTAGTTTTTTTTTTTCAACAATTTTAACGAATTTGAATATTTTTCATTCAAAATTGATTTGACAGTTCATTGCCCCAGCAGCTGCGTCGATGCGACTGCCTATATTCTTCTACCATGGTAAATAGGCAATATCAACTTACAATTATTAAATGATCACAACCATGGCAGAAGAATACAGGTAGATGCATCAACGCTTGGGAGTATTGATATGTCAAAAATTTGTAAATGTTTTTCAAATATAAGTAGATTTTTATATGTTTTCTTATAAGATGTCATTCGGAGGTTATTATAATCCGCTTTTTTCAGCAATTTTTGCAAATTTAAATAATTTTTCATTCAACATTTTCAATTCCAAAATTGGTTTGACAGTTCATTGTCCCAGCAGCTGTGTCGATGCGTCTACCTAAATTCTTCTACCTTGATCACAACACATATTAGTGCACGTGTAAACGTAACCGTAAAACGAATGTTAATTACGATACGTTACGTACGCCTCGGACTAATTGCTCCTAAAGTTTTAAGCGATTTTTTTCATGATAGCATGGCGGCATTCGTGTTGTCAACACTGTGTGCGTTAATTTTTGGAAAAAGACGCCGATTTCATTCTCCTCCATCAATTTCTCCTCTAACGTTGCTCTTGAACGTAATATACACAGGTTTTTAGACTTTAATTCTGCTGATACTACAAATATATATCTTTAGTTTAAATAAAATTAGGTAAGTTAATTATATTTTACACAAATTTATGCAATTCAATTAACAATTGTTTTTGTTTTAGAGTTAATTTAAGAAAATTAACAAAATGGCTGACATTTCTACGGAACAATTGACTACCGAAATCCATGCAATCTTAAAGAAGGCTGACTTGTCGACTATGTCCGCCAAGAAAGTCAGAGAACAAGTTGAAAAGAAGCTGGACTGCTCGTTGGCAAATCGAAAAAAGGAATTCGATAAAATTGTTATGGATTTCATAAATTCACAGCAGGAGGACGAAGACGAGTCCGAAGAAGAGGAGGAGGAGGATGAGAAAGAAGAGAGTGCATCAGAAGAAGAAGCTAGCAGCGAAGAGGAGAAGAAAAAGCCGGCTAAAAAGCGCCCACAACCGACACAGCGCAAAGCATCGCCACCGAAAAAGAAGCGCAAATCCTTGACTGCTTCTGATTCGGGAACCGAGTCGGATGGAGGTGATGATTCCGATTTTGAGGTATCGAAGAAGAGTAAGAAGAAAAATTCTGCCGGCCCCAAAAAGAAGAAGGCCGCTGCCGGTGGTGGCACTGGTCGTAAATCCACAGGTTTTACACGCGCCTACAATTTATCGCCTGAATTGTCCTCGCTCATGGGCGCCGAGTCCCTGCCACGTCATGAAGTCGTCAAGAAGGTATGGGCTCTCATCAAGGAGCGCAATCTGTACGATCCCAAGAACAAGCAATACGCGATATGTGATGACGAACTTTTTAAAGTGATGAAGGTTAAACGTTTCCGTACATTCGGAATGTTAAAACATTTAAAGCCACATTTCTTGGAGTAGAATTTGTGGCCTAATAATGACTGCAAAGTATACAGCCCGACCCCAGAGGGTTGTACAGAAAACAAATGAAGATGTTGTGTTTAACAAGTCCAGAACAGGCATCGTCCTTAACAATTTTTTTTACCACATATACTACTTTACATTTTAATTTCTCGCTTTAAGTTTTCGTAGAATTTTGATATTTTTGTCGTCTTCAAGTTAAAATAACTCTCGTGCATTGAAAACAAAAGAAGGAAAACCATAAAGCATTTCATTTTAAGTTTGAAATATGTACATTTTTATACATACTTAAAAATTGAGAAAGCCATGGTGTCGACATTTCCAAATGTAGTAGGTTATATACGCATGCGCGTATGCATTTCTTTTCATTTTTTAGTTTCAAATTTGTCGCCACCATTAATTAAGAATGTCGCATGAAAATAATAATAAAAAAACATCTTTGTAAGAAAAGTAAAAATAAACGATAAATTTAAAAAAAGAAGAAGCAAAAATGTTCATTTAGGTATTTTCTTCATTCTGTTTGGCTACTAGTGTGATTCTGAGTGTGTGTGTATATGTATGATGATTGAATGTAGCATTTGTCATTTTTGCTTTTGTTTATTCTGCTCAGATGATGGCTCTTGCACACCACAGTGAACTAATCTTCTATTAATAGATCGAACAACTATGCATGTTAAAAAAGCAGTCATAGTTATCCACAATTCAATATTGTGGCGGATTTTATATTTGAGTTTTTTTTATCGATTTGCTCGTAAACTAAATTACATCCTGAGCTGCATTTTGGATAATATAGCTATATATGAAGCAGTAGTGAAATAACTGACTGACTTGCTAGCTGAGAATCAACGTCCAGACAAAGAGTTTGCACGAGGTTCAGTCTTGGCGCGTAGGCGTGTGATAAGGATGGATTTTTAAAAATACGTAATAAAAGGTTGCGAAAAGTACTGAAATGTAATACTTTGTATTGGACCCAAGCGGATTTTTGATAGTTTCGAACAAAACTTATTGTGAACGGATAGAGCTGAAAACTTAAAATTTGTTATGAGAATCAAGGTTGGAAAGCAAGTTTGATAAGCCAAGGTAGTTTTGGAAATGTATACTAAGTTTGCGAACTGCACTAAATGGTAATAAATTTGGAAAAGTTTGGGTTAGGGTGATGAAGCTGAAATTTGGCAACTTGGTTTAGGGGTCCTTGTGGATGGTTGGTTTGTGATAAATAGGTGGCTTGGAAATGTGGACGAATAGTACAAAACCGTACTATATTTGGTACAATTTGGTATTGGGTGAACAGATCGTGCCTTAAATCGAAACTTTGGTATTAGGGTCGCTGTTCATGTGCAGCCTGGACATATGGAGGTGGTTTCGAAAATATGTACTATAATAGTACGAAAAGTACTGAAGAGTACTATATTTGGTACTGGGTGAAGGAATAGGACTGGACTCCTCATGTTTGAAATAGAGGTCTCTGTTGGTATCTGGAATTGAGATAAGGAGGTAGTTTTGGGAATATGTACTAATGGCTAAATGGTACTAAGTTTGGAAGGAATAGAGTTGAAATCCTGATATTGATCAGATAACACTGTTCGTGCCTGTGGTACGAAATTGAACTAAATTTAGTATTGGGTGAATGAATGTACAGGGTGAGATGAAAAAACTGCAACCAACTTCAGACTGCCGTCATTTCTAAGCCACTCGTCCGACAGCTGTTAAAATTATTCCAGTGACAGCTCATTATATTGTTTACAAGTGTACAAAAGCATTTTGGTGAGAATTTTCCAGAAAAAAAGTTATTCGTGATGGAATTTAAGCGTGATAGTGTGATTTCTTTATATTTGGCTGGAAAACCACAAGTGGCTATCGTTAGAGCCCTGCAGCATTTAAATGTGAATAAATCTTTTGTGTCTCGAACCATAGCTCGTTACCGAGATACTGGTAGCGTAGCCCGAAGTGGATGGAAGAAAACAGCAACATCAGCAGAAACGGTTCGAAAAGTAAAGAAGCGACTTGATCGAAATAAATGACTCGTGAGCTGAAAATATCGCAATATTCCATTCGGCAAATATTGAAAAATAAACTCGGGGTAAAGCCCTTGAAATTCCAAAAAGTGCAAGAACTTACACCGCAACAGAAAGAAAATCGACTCAAAAGAGCTAAAGAGTTGCTTCGCTTGGCCGAAAGTGATAAACTGTCGAATTTGGTTTTTTCCGATAAGAAACTATTCGTTGTCCAGCAGTAGACAAACAAAATGATCGTGTTTACTTGCGAAAAAGGCTGAAAATGTGCACCTTCGTTTGGCCACCAGAAGTCAAGCGCCGGCATGGTGATAGTGTGGGCCGCCATAACAGCCGATTGTCGCTTTCCGCACGTATTAATCGACCATGGCATCAGAATAAATGCCGAATATTATCACGAAAATATTCTGGAGATTGTATTTAAGCCTTGGGACGCAAACATTTTGGCTGCAAACCTTGGACATTTCAACAGGACTCAGCACCATCGCACTCAGCACGCGCCACCCAGGAATGGTTACAAAATGAGGTTCCTCGCTCCATTTCCAGCGCAAAATGACCACCAAAATCTCCGGATACCAATCCGTTGGATTATTGTATCTGGAGTATTTTGGAAAGCAAGGTTGGCACTAAAAATACCAAATTCATGCCTAAAAAAGTGATCACAAATAATAGCTAAAAACCCCGAAAGATCAGTATTTAAGGAGTTATGGCCATTTTATAGTTTGCAATAATTCCTTCCCAAGAAAGTGATCACAAATAATAGCTAAAAACCCCGAAATATCAGTATTTAAGGAGTTATGGCCATTTTATAGTTTGCAATAATTCCTTCCTAAAAAGTGATCACAAATAATAGCTAAGAATATTTAAGGAGTTATGGTCATTTTAAAGTTTGCAATAATTCATGCCCAAAAAAGTGATCACAAATATAACTAAAAACCCCGAAAAGTCAATATTTAAGGAGTTATGACCATTTTAAAGTTTGCAATAATTCCTTCCCAAAAAAGTGATCACAAATAATAGCTAAAAACATTTGAGGAGTTATGGCCATTTTAAAGTCATTCCTAAAAAAGTGATCACAAATAATAGCTAAAAAACCCCGAAATGTCGATATTTAAGGAGTTATGGCCATTTTAAAGTTTGCAATAATTCATGCCCAAAAAAGTGATCACAAATAATAGCTAAAAACCCCGAAATGTCAATATTTAAGGAGTTATGGCCATTTTAAAGTTTGCAATAATTCATGCAATTCGAATTTAGTTTTAGTAACCGAATCGTTGACATTCATTGTGGGCACCAATTCGAACAAATCTAAACTTATTCTAAAATTTGATGCTATTTCCGACATATTTTGCTTTTATTCAATAAAATTGAAAAAAAAAATGTAAAAATTATGGCGTTTGACTTTGTTGCAATTTTTTTTTATCTCACCCTGTATGGTTGAATATTTTCTTAACATCAGATGTGTGACATTGCTACCATCATCCAATATCATGCTGAGTTTCCTTATAGCAAAAAGAGTGTTGGTGGGATGGATCAGGAACCTTCATAGCCAAAATAAGACGATTTTCCTCTGAAAATGCAAACCTTTGCCCGTAAAAGTTCCACTGAATTCAAATAAAAAGGCACACAATAAATATGTTGTATAAACAATAATTGCTGTTGTGGATTTTTTATTTTCTTTTATTGTTAAATTTGTTTCATGGTTGTTTATATATTTCTTTTATACATTAATTACTTGTAGTAGGTATGCATTGTATATATACTGTTGTTGTTTCATTTCTGGTTTTATTATGTTTTATTCCGCGCTATTAAATAACTACTAAATATTTTCTCGTTTTTATTTTTCATTATTCCTGTGTTTGTGTGTGTGTTTTTTAGGTTTTGTAGTAGTTTTCTTAATTTACAATCAATTGTAGAGTCAATATAAAACAAACATTGAATCGGCAATAAATACATAAAAAATACAATTATTTAAGCATTTGTTTTCCTTTTTTGTTTCTTGTTAAGTACACAATTGCTGTGTGCGAAAGAACGTATGATTTGATTGGCTGTTTGACATTCGCATATTTTCAAACTTCTTCTCTTATTATTTTGTAATTGTTGTAAATTTTCTTTTGTGGCTTAAAAAAAGTTATAATGGAATATATTTAGCATCTGGGTTTTAAGTACAATAGGAAAAGTAAACGAAACAAAAGGATTGATGGGGTATACATTTGTGGCTCATCATCTTGGTTTGTGGAAGAACATAAATAAATTAGCGTCTAGTTGTTACATGTCAAATAAGTACTAAAGTTTCGAAATAGTATTTGTTTGGCCTAAATGCAAAACATTTAAGAAAACTTAAAATTATAGAAAAATCTACGACATTTGCGGCGTATTTGTTGTAAAAAGGTAAAGTATGGGGTGCATAAAAAGGATATTTTTACGGCTTGCTTATTGGGTTATAATTAAATTCGGAAATAACTAAAACAAAAAAAAAATGAATGCATAAGAATACCATTGTGTTGCTTTGTGAATATAAATATATATATGATTACGAGCTACTGAACAAAACAGTAATCAAGGAGGAGGCTGTCTTAAAAAATAGATACCAAAGAAGCGCAAAAAAGATATTTTAAAAACGTAGTAGCAAAATTTGTAGTTTTAAAATTGTTTCGAAAATTTGAAACTTAAGAAGAACTTTTTAAAAATAATATACCAAACCATGATACAATAAAGAGGTAAGGTAGAGCTACCAGCTGATTATTTTTTTTTTTCTAAATATGCCCGACTTCTGCTAATTTCGTGTATGTATTTATTGTTTGGATAAATAAAAGGATTTATTTTTAAAATTAATGATTGGAAGAAATGTAAATTACAAGACATGCATTAAATTTTTTCTTCAGTTTTGCCATGAATTGAAATATCGAAATGTTTAGATCATATTTTTGTTTAGATCATTCATTTCACTCATTTTTCGCCCTGTCTAACTCATTTTAAAAATGAGGAAAAATATCGAATAAATGAAAACAAGTTGTTGCATGTAAATTTGACAGGAAGCGGGTATAGTCTCAGGGCTGTATTTCTGGAGCTTTACGAAGCTGTTTTACCCCCTTATTGCATCATGACCAAAACGTATATTGCCAATTTGCTGTACTGGACAACTTCTAAGCATATAAAAGCAGGAGGTTGCTTAAGATGGGGAAGCTAAGCAAAAATGACCCAAACCCAATGCATGTCTGATATTTTCTCTCTTCAATTTTTTGTCTGACAATATGAAATTATGAAAAATAGCAAATTATGAAAAATAAAAAATAGAATTCTGTGAAACCTTTTCGGGCGTTAATGTGTGAGATGTATACAATTTTTTATAAAATATTTTAGTTAAATTTTTGCTATTTAAAGCCTCAGCATTGCAGTACAGTTGTGGATGTAATAATGAGAAATACGTAGCGCATGTTCTTAAATTTCATATCCAATATTTTATAATATTTGTCAAATGTAAATTGTTTGTTGTCTCTCTGGATTGATTGACAAATAAAATTCCTATTATTTAAGATTTAAAGCCTGTTTTTGTAACTATATTTTTGCCAAGCTTTTGTAAATTTGTCGACCGAAAAAAAACATTTGGAGTTTTACTTTCTATTGGAATTTTGGGTTTTTGTAACAAAAAAATACGAGAGAGAATGCAAGAAAACAAATTGAAATAACATTTTGCTGACGCATTTTGCAGTTCCATATTCTTCAAATATTCTCTCGATATTTTTCAATTTTGTTTTTACAAATTTTTGACAGGTTTTGAATTTATTTGAGTTGCCACAAGCAGCACAACTTATAATGAAAATCAAAAACTTAACAAAAAATAGTTACAAAAACACTGACTTACAAAAGCGTTTCGGCAATTGGCGTGAGCTTTCGAAATTTATATAAAAATCCATTATTAAAACGAATACGTTTGAAAACGAACGTTGACAGTGAAAACAACTTGTTTTTACAAAAACCGGCTGTTAAACTAATGATTCATAAGCAGTTTGGCATGACACATCATAAATGGGTGTCAGACCTGCACTCAAATCTTGCGGTCATTTTACCTTATAATGATGATAAGCGCCCTCTGTATCACCACCTACACTTCTTTGCTGTCTTGCTAACAATTGTTAATTTTTAATTCCTTCTAGCAAAGGTAGATCAACTGTCCTATTATACATTTTGAAATTTTATTTCGAATTGAAATACACGAAAAAAAATATATAGACATTATTTTGTAATTATATTACAAAGTAAACCCTTTTTTAAAGTATTGAAAAAATGTATAATAGAACAGTTGAAGCCTTATTGGCTTGGGGTAAAATTCATGCATTCGATATCGAAAAAATGTCCATCGAAATTAATTTCTGTGTGCTTAGTTTATAATGATAATAAGACAATTTTCGGTAGGAACAAGTGGAATTTAACTCTAACCAAATCCTACATAGAGTCGCCCAAGAAGACAAGTTTTCGCACTATTGTAATTTGACTCTCTTTGAATTCAACTACGTCATTTGTCAGATGGGCTTACTGGCCGACTTTATATTAGCCGTTTCTACCGAAATTTTCAATTAAATCAAGGTAAAATATGTAGATATTTAAAATTCATATAAATTGACATTTTTTCGATATCGAATAAAAGAATTTAGCTCCGCTCCTGATTTATAGCTTCGTAATATATATATTCACATATGTACCCTCCTAACACTTCTTTTCATTTCATGCAAGTGTACTTTTTTCTTTGTTAAATTTGTAAAGAAATCGAAAAAATAAAAATAAAATACATTTTTTTTAAATTCCTAAATTTGTTGTGTTGATTTTATCATCAGCAGGTTGGTTAGTTACTCAACTTCATTGTCTTCATGTGTTTCAGTGTTTTTTTTTTTTCTTTTGTTTTGTAAAAATTGTGTGTCTCTCTCTTTACGTGGTTTTTTGTAAAGCTTTTTCTTACTTCTGAGGCAGCATACCTTTTTGTGGGTATGCCAAACAAGCCATTGTATGTATTAATGGTTAGATTCCGTTAATAGCGATAATAGTTGGGCTTAAATGGTCCCGCCTTATTGAGACCCATATACTTGGCCTGTTCATCGGTGAGCTCAGTTAAATGGGCATCAAATGTTGGCAAATGTAAACTGGCCACATATTCATCCATTTTCTTCGGCAACAAATACACATCGGACTTATAACGGCCGGGTGGAGCATTGAAGAGCTCAATTAAGGCTAAGGCCTGTGTGGCAGATGTAATTGACACAGCAAATGATGGTATGCTCGAACAGGATAAATTAACCAAACGTCCCTCGGCCAAGAGTATGATATACTTGCCCTCGGGCCAAATAATGTGATCAACCTGGGAGCGTACCTTCTCCCATGTCAAGTCGGGTGTACGCAGACTATTTACATCGATCTCCGTATTGGAATGTCCCATATTGCACACAATACAACCGCTCTTCATTTTATCCATGTGTTCACGTACCACAACATTTTTGTTGCCCGTTGCCGTGACCACAATGTCCACATTGCGTATGACCTCGTTCAGTTTCACCACACGGAAACCATCCATGCTGGCCTGTAATGCACAAATAGGATCAATTTCGGTTATATAAACAATACAACCTTGGCCCTTGAGGGCTTGGGCACAACCCTTGCCCACATCACCATAACCGCAGACCACAACTTGTTTGCCACCAAACATCACGTCGGTGGAACGTTTTAGACTATCCAATATGGATTCTTTACAGCTGTACAAATTATCGAATTTAGTTTTGGTCACCGAATCGTTGACATTCATTGCGGGCACCGTCAATTTGCCCGCCTTCGACAACTGGTACAGACGATGAACACCGGTTACACTCTCCTCCACAATACCCTTTACCAATTTGAACATGGTTGGATATTTTTTAAGCATCAAATGTGTGGCATCGCCACCATCATCCAATATCATATTGGGTTGCCAGTTTTCGGCATTGACACAACGATCGATGCACCACCAAAAATCTTCTTCGGTTTCACCGCGCCATGCAAAAATTGGAATGTTCGCTTCGGCCAAGGCGGCAGCAACTTCATTCTGAAAAAATAAACGATGAAAATCGTTATTAGTATCCACCAAGACAAGTATATAAATTGTCATACATCATATGTATGTATATGTTCTACAATAAATAAAGAACCCCAATTGTGAAACAGATCTGATGATAAAATATTTAAAGAAACAGACACACACCCATAACCAGACTTTAATGGCAAATACATGAAGACCAACAGGCATGTGATCTCGTAATTAAAATTAATTAGCTATACTTTGTAATGGTATTACAAAAGAGAAGAGCGTATGCCGCCTAATTGATGATATGAGATCTGGGGAAGCATATACCTCATACCATATTATTGAAAAGAAATATGAATTGAAAAATTATGTATGCTGATTTCAAAATCAAGAATTATTTTAATCATTCATTTAATGATGTTTCAGTTTTTTTCTTTTTCAATTGTAAGTGGTTTATAGACAACATATTAACATTAACCCAAATCTAAAACACTGATATGCTCTTGGAGCCTGGTAAGAAATGTCAACCACTCTGGTGGACTAAACACCTAGCCAATTTAAGGAAAGTAAGCAGACGGGTGTGTAATATGACAAACAAGTCAAAACAACGTACGGACTCGGGACAAATTCACTAAGGAGGTCCGGTCCGGTCCGGTGAAGCCACCTCTATGCTACTTCTTTCGAATGGCGGAGGAACATTTCTCCGGAAAGTTCAACAAAACAGCCTAAATTAGAGAGGATGCAACGTCTTGAAGCCAACAAGATCTTAAAATTGTGGTAATAATAATAACAGGTCAATGCAAAAAAAAAGGCCATGACTTTCATGTGGGACGGACATGATACTGGCTTCTGTAGGCTATTCACTGAATCTGCAGCCATTCTTCAGTTAGCCAGAAGACTAAAGTGGCTAAAGATGGATTACAAAACTACTTTTCCTTCTTTTAATTTCTTTCAATGGACCAGCGAGTCTCCAAGTGGAGTCCAACGTTTTAAATATGGACGGAGGACCCAACACTGTTCAAGTGCTGCCAACACTATTCTTTGACACGGCTTGTTTTGGTTTACTTTTCGACTAATATGTGTCGATGTGGTATGCAAAACTATTGTGGTGCTATGTTGATGGTTGGCAACTGCATAGTTTCCCCAAATGATGGGGAGACAAGCCTAAAATGCGTTCGATATTGGCAACCTGTATGACAGAATATGGCCCCGAGAACTGCAACAGGATACCTCCTCATGACGTCGGTGAACCATCTTCAAGAGGCGAAACTTCTTCTTCCCCTACGTCAGCAAAACCACATACTTTCGTAGCAGTACCTGCTGCTTCGGTGTTACCATAGGAGTCATCCTAACTAGCATATGGTGGTTAAGACTCGCCCACCCAAACGTGTCAGGAAGGACCTACACGATCTACAGAGAGAGGTCCACTATAAGAGAGACCCTCAAGATCAAGTAACCTATCAGGCTAGTCTGAGTGATATTTATGTTGATGCAGTCACTGATGTCATTAACACCTATAGTATGAATGCCATACTTGGAGACCTTTGCGGCTGAAGAAGGTTGGTTGTCTACATATTCATAGAGGACATAAATTGATAAGGATGTGCGAAATGTCTTCCTAGAGAGCAATACAGGCCCTCAAAACACGCTACGCCTCTTTTATTGCCCTGCTACACCTGTTCTGGATAGTACTGTCGCTTCAATTCATAGTGGGCACAAATTGATTAGGATGTGCGAAATACCTGCCCAGAGAGCAATACAGGCCCTCACAATACGTTACACCTGTTTAATTGCCCTGCTACACCTGTCCGACTCATTCCTGAAGATCTTTGCGAAGGAAGGAAGCCAAATTCTCGAATTTGGAGTTAGAATCAAATTAGCAGAAAGGAATAAATCGTATATTGCTGTTACAAAAATAAACTAAGTCTCCTTGGATAGAATTTGTTTGTTGTTCTACTGTTAGAAAACAGTACAAAATATCTTCTACACATCTACAACGACAGAAGATTGATAAAAATATGATTTGCATGTCTTTGCATGTCTGTAGAAAAATATGTTCTAAGGAGTCTATATTTTATTTTATTATTAGCGAGCATTGATATAGCTTTAAAATCTAAAATAATGAAGCCGGTTAGGCTCAGACTGTTCATAAATTATTGGTTCGCAATGTACAGGAAAAAAGTACTAGTAGCAAATTATAATATTTCTCCTTTTTTTATATTGATATATTTATAGCGAACATTTGTTCACAGGCCAAAACAGTCACTCATAAAATACTTGTCAATATTATCGATCTTTTGATAATTTCCTGTAATAAATCTCTTTTTTTAAATCAAAATTGATTATTTTTTAACGGTATTATAATTATGACTTATTATTTGTGGCTTTACTTAAATCATACATTTTTATTTTCTCACTTTTTTCGGTTTATTTAAGCAAGGTGCCATTTTTCTAAAAGTGGAACGCATATAAATTTAATTGATCACGCTACTCATGGACAATAATTATTAAAACAACAACACACGAATAAATGATTGGAGGGGGTGACAATAAAATAATAGAGTGACATGGTTGGGAAATCTTTGCCAAGAATTGGTGTTTGTTTAATGTGTAACAGCTACAAAAAAGAAAAAGAAATATCATTCAATCATTTTAGTAAATTTATTGTTTTATTATTATTTTCGATTTATATTGATCAACTGCTATGTGTTTTGCAAATCAAATGGATATATAAGAAGACAAAACCTAAATGTGCTATGTAATACTCACTGCAAGTTTCTGTTACAATAAATTAAGAGAATTATCTAGCATTTATATGCGGGTGTGTATGTATCTGTCGTATATATAAATCGAACATTTTATCTTATCATAGTTTTAAGGCACATAGATACTTTTTTACCGTGCTTGCATTTGTCTTTCCCTAAAAAATCTATGTATGCGATAGCACAGATCCTATGCAAGTGATATCGATATGAATGATGGGTTAATTCCCATAATACACTAATAAATTGATAAATATTTTGTCATCATTTTTTGTCGCCGTTGTTAAAATTCAAAATGTATGACTATATACATATATTGCACCACACACAAACAAACAGAATCGGATGGCAGGCGTCTTTTATAATGGTAATATTTAAAATTTACACTTCATTCATTCATTCATTCAATGATTGTAAATTAATTAGAGCCCTTATAAAGAATGACGTGTTAATGTTGATATTTTCCGTATTAACATTGAGTAAGAAGTCCAATTAACACTTAAATTTATTACTCGATCATTGTCCAGCTTCATTTTATTGAATTGTTAGCGGGAATGTTTGAAAATAATAGTTCCGCGTGTTAATAATTTGTCAAAACATTTGGGGCAAACTTTTGTGGGAATTGAGGGCTAAATAAACCATTTGTTGTTCGAAGTTTGAGTGGGTACAGATGAGTTCGTTTATATTGGAGATTTGAAAAATGGGGAAACTAAATATTCCGAAAGGCTATTAGAAATTCTTAGATATGACTCAGTCAAATGATATGGAAAAATATTGCCAAAGGAAGAATAGTGATGTATTTAAATTTATTCGAAACACCCTCGACCTCTTGATCTATATCCGGAGTTGTTGTTTTTTTAGTCAAAAACGAAACATTCGAATTGTATCCTATACTAAGGGAAATCTCTGGATATGCTTAAGATAATTTATGTAAAATGAATGTCTAAAATCTCGGTACTATTTTCGACCAACCACTTAATTCTAAGAGGAATATCGAGAATCGCACAAAGCGTAGCCAAGATCACTTTATTCCTTTTGATAGTCTGCAATTATAGGGCATGTGGAACTCATAGGAGGTGGGGCCAAAACCACGGCTGAACTTCAAGCCACTAGATAGCCGACACGAACGTCTGTAACCCTAACAACCTATTTTTAAATGGTATAGCTGTCTAAAACGATGGTTCAAATGTGGAAAGTGGAACTGTTGCAGGGTCTGCTGTAAACGCCTGAACATTAAAAATTCATTCAAATTTAACAACTGCAGCGTATTCCAAGCAGAACCCGTTTTTATCAAAAAAAAAGGCCAAAGAGCTGTTGGTAAACAGAAAGAGTGAACTGAACGGTTCGGTACGTCCGGTGACTATATATATATATATATATAAATCAATAAATTCATGTACCATTGAATCTATTACAGTGTAGAAATTCAAGACGTGGGTCAGAGTCAATCGATTTGGAAATCGACAACTCGACGAAACCACCCTTTTGCCGCTTTCTCCGAGTGCTATAAGATAATGGGCAGCACTCTATGGGAAGAGATTAAGCTCTTCATAGTGAAATCGGACTTTAAACTTGTGGTGGGAACCATCACTGGATACTGAAACATAAGGGCCATTACTTCTAAGTGGAGTGACGACAACACCGATTACTGGAGGCTCGGTCAAGATGAGGAGGAAAATGAAACGGTCGAGCACTTGCTTTTATGCTGGCACTATCCAACTAGCACTGTGTGAGACAAAGGCATATGGGAGAGAAAACTCTGCCTGATCAGTTTTATTCTCCGACACTGAAGTGACTAAAGATAACATATTGACTTCATCGAGGATTGCAAATAATTTTTCCTTTTTCCATCGGGTATATATTTTTTAACATATAGAGGTCTCGCCAATTTTGCTTAAAAATTTCATGCAAAAAAGTGTCGACTTGTACTTCCGGCTACATCGGTCGTCTAAGGAAATGTTCGCAAAAGAATTCTCCGGTAATATAGTGGAATTTATAACAGCACTGTGGTGGCCTTTAGTGAGTAATACAAAAAAAAAAAAAAAGAAAAAGTTCGAGATTTCTCTTGGAGGCTCAGAGGTCCAGAAAATGAAAAGTCAGTTATATACTTCAGGATTGCTAAAATTAAAATTCGAAAATAAATTCAGTGTATGTAGATGAATCCGGATATTGAATGGATATGTATAAGAAAGATGGAACTGTTGAAATTTTTTACATTCTATATACTGGACATAGAGCAGTGATCCCATTCAACAACAATTAGAAGAATTATATGTATATTATAAATAGTAAAGGTAGTTGATAAAATTCCAACCGAATTAGACAACAAACTCTAATCTGTCCTCACTATACAATCTGAGTTCAGTATAGCAAATTAATTTAGAATAATTTTCTGAAAGGCCAGAATTGGAGAGACCCTAATTCCAGAACTACTTTGAGGTTTAGAATATTACACATATCCGTGATGGAGCCTCAAGTGTCAGTTTGTTTTGGAATAGGCCGGTAATCAAAGTGGTCTAGATAAGAGGATTTTTAATAATCAATTAAATTGGTTGAGGATATTAATTAAATATTTATATGTAAGGATATGTAGACATTGCACACTGTACCCAGAGTGGTAGTGCATTCAACCAGAACATTCAGCCAGAACAAACGGAAATAGATTCTTGAATGAAGAGCTAGGAAATAAAATTTCAAGCGAAGTTAGGGGATTGATTCCCCAAAAAAATCGAGTATTGCAACCCAACCAATGAATTTGTAACAACCAAAAATATGCACACAATCGTACATAGGACTATCAAAAGAAAATTGTATCTTTTGAAAAAGAATATAGAATTTCCATTAAAATAGGTATCTTGTTTACGCATGATAAATATATAAAGTTGACTATCAATAATTACACAATTTGTTTATTTAATATATCTTTATAAATGCATGCCATTTGCTTATAAGCCATCTCTTGCACTTGCCCATGAAGTTAAATGCCAAGCAATTAGATAAAAATAATGTATAGAAACACATGTATAAACAGGCAAATATTTACTTAATGATATGTTGTAGTTAAGGTCTTATGACTCGATTGAAAGTATTTGCAATCGAATATTCTAATAATTTATCTTTGTGGTAAAAGCAGAAGTTTCTCCCATAACCAGCTATATGACATCACAATTAATTGTGTTGAAAAAGGCACGTACGTTCCCTTTGCTCTCTTGACAGTAATGGAAAACAATTATTTCTGAGATATTGGTGGGAAATATTTTTTTGGCATGATGCTTATGGCTTATCGCACGTAGAGATGTTAGAAAAGACAAATAATCAAATGAAGCATTGGCTCTTATCTTAACAATCTTCGACATTTCTCCCTGTGTTAAAAAAAAAACAAGTTTTTAGGTCACATGATCATTCACCTATTGCCTGAAGCATAAAATTCATACTTAAAAAATCTTTAATTTGTAGATTATCGCCTAAATCTTATTACCTTCAAAACAAAATAAAACAAATTAAATATTCTAAAATCCTTGAAACCTTTTGATGGCAAATAATGTTATTAATTCAGTTTGTAGTCTAAAACAATTCATGGATTAGAAAAAACCAATAAATCAATTTAAATATTCGAAAATCCTTGACATACCTGTGTTGAGTAGATATTACAGGCAGCCCAACGAACCGAAGCTCCCAAATCAATAAGTGTTTCGATCAAGACCGCTGTCTGGGCATTTATGTGAGTGCAACCAACAATTTTGACATCCTTCAGCGGCTTATCATCGGCTGCCCTCTTTCGAAGTGCCATTATGCCTGGCATTTCTTGTTCGGCAATCTCAATCTCACGCCGACCAAAGGCGTTCTGATTTATGTTGCGAACACAAAAATCAGAGCTGCCTTTGGAGTTCTTTTGGACCTTTTCTCGTGGTGGTACATCATCACCGTCATCCGAACTGCCCGTGTAAGAGGCAGATGAAAACGAATCGGTGGATGAAGCCGACAATGAACGACTACGATATCGGCTAGTTTTCTTTAAAGCACTTGATTGTTTCGATTCCTTTTTTTCAGCATTGGAGCCGGGATCGGGAACAGGCGTATCTGATAGGTTGTTCATTTTGGGGATTTTTCCAATCCTCGTTCGTTCGTTTGCTATCTAATTGACGTTTGTATGACACACTACACCAACAAAACAGCTGTTCCTCCAGCAGCACCGATTTTACTACACCGAAAAAACAGCCAAACAGATTACAAAATGACAGTGAAAGGAAGTTACAAATTGCACTCAAATCCGTATGTGCTGTTTTCTTTTTGCTCACGTAATTCTCACGTGATGTCTATTGAATGTTGTTTCGTTTTATTCGTTGTGTTGTCTTATAGTTTTATGTGTTATTGCTTTCCTTTCGTCGTCGTCGACGTAGTCGTCGTTTGATTTGTAAAATACTATGCGGCGGCTATGTGTGTTTGTTTTTCTCGCCTTTGTCAATTAACAAAACAAATGAGTGATGGAACAAACTGACGAACGTAGCGGTGACAGAAGGGGTACACAAATAATTTGCTTCCAGAAAGAGTTTTTGTAACACTCACTGGCTCACACACACAACAGCACAGCACACGCAACAATTGACAGAGCACGGGAACTGAAAAGAACTGATCGATACGTTAAGTCCGAAATAAACTAACTCAATAAGAGATAGATTTGTTTATGATACCGTAAAAATTAAAAAATGAAATTTAATTACAGCAGTCCGTTTGGTCGACGTCTTGTGAGAGCCAATGGAGAGATAAAAAAGTTGTTGAGAAAGTATGGGTATTTGGTAATTGCATTCGTTTGCCACAACGATTATTGGGAAAATGTAATTGGTCGCCAAAGTACGATAAATACAATAAAAGCGTTTGCGAAAAACGTATCTTTACCTTTTTAAATTGCTCTCCTTTGAATTGTACCGTAATTTCGCGTAGGGAAAGGCTTTTTGAATAAAAGTTTTAAAATAGAAATGAAAAAGTTGCTGGTATATGCAATTTTTTGACAAGTCTTTTCTGTTTGTTCCTTGAACTCAAAAATAAAATTAAAAAATAAAAATAAAATTAATATAGTCTGTTACAGAACTGCAACAAAGTAAACATTTTTACTAAGAAAACCGATTTGTCCTTTATGATATCGAAAACAAATTGCTAAAGTAGTAGGTCCTTGCAGGTTCCATTAATCCATTGTATATACACAAATCAAAGATAGTAACTTTATTTCTATGCAGTTAAATTTGACGAGTTAACTTACAGAAAAATGCAGAGTTTAATATTCATATTTGAAATTAGATTGCGTTAAAATAATTGAATGTCTTCTGTTTATTTTTCATCTGTTATTTGTGTATGCACAATTTCCCAATTAGTTTAATAAATAGTTAAATAAGTCATAAAACTTCACGGATAGTTTAAAAATTATGAGACGCGCCTAAAAGTATGCTGTAAATATGCTTAACATAGATATGAAAAAAAATCATTAACAAATGACTAACATACCTCTTCTATTCCAGATTCTACTAGTTTTGACCATTACTAGGGGACCTATATTGACTTTTTTATAAAGTCTTTTTTCTCTCAGACGAATTTTATTAAATCGATTTAAAATCGTATACTAATAATTTCTGTGGAGTCATATACATCTTCTCATTCATCATTCTTCATCAGCCTTAAATTCTCAGTCAAAGTGTGTGGACAAATATTCTTCTTCCATGTTTGGTGTTGAAAAAGGTTATATCAGCTAAGTTTTGGAATAGCCTTTAATATAACATTAGCATCCAATTTTAATGTTAACTAATTCTTACACATGCCTATCGATGCGTAAAGTCATAGAAAATGTTTTAAAATAAGTTGTAGCACTTCAGTATAACTGTTTTATTTCAATTACACAAATACAATCTAATAACAATCGATAAATACATAAATACATATATAAAAATATATTACTAACAACATGATCACATATCTTTATAGCCACATATTTCGGAATCTTGTTCATCCGTAACTAAATGAGACTCTGATAATAGTCCTGCGTCATATAGGGGGTTTGCCATAGTCAGTTTATTCCTTTGACCTCTTAAACCCAGTTTGGCGTTTTCCTTAATAAAATTCACCACTGTATTGTCATCTACAACCGACATTTGTAGGCATTTACCCCATGCCAGTAAAGCTAAAGGCCTTTGTGGTGTCAATAATTGTGAGGGAGTAATAATATGTCGATAAAGGCAGCCCTGTAAAATATTCTGCAATTGTTTAATTTGACCAGAAAAGGCACATGGGTGATATAACATAACAATGCCGCCATCGGACAAACTTCGTAGCCAGCGTTGAGGTGGTAAGTATTTGTAGTTGCCGAATTTCGGTGCCAATGGACGATATGAACCGCTAGCAAAGAAATGATATATTAAAAACAATACTTGGACATTAGAAAATAAAACATTGCTTACAATGTAGGCAACGATTCACCATAGGAAATTGTTTCATTTAAACATTTTGCTGTAGGTTGATATGCAACAGGCACAAAATGTTCTATCAGAACCGTTGTGGTGTTGAAATTTGGTTCGAATTCCGTACGATTTCCCAAACACAGATAGTTATAGGAGTGTCGTTTGTCATCTGGATCAAAGTCTATGTCCAAGTTCTCCTAGAATAAAAAAAAATAACTTGACTCTTATAAATCTCCGATTTTTCGACGTACCTTTCCATTATCGCAAGTGTCTCTATCAGTTTCCTTTGAACTATGGGTATCAACTGAAATCCCAGGCGCGTGGGGAAACCAAGTACCTTGCCACGAATCTTTATCTGCCACATTGTCTTTTTCCGCTACTACGTCATAATGGTAATTTGGTGGTTTTGGGAACCACAATCCATTCCACTTCTGTTCTATATTGTTGTCCAACAACGGGCCTTTCTTGTAAACTTTACATTCAATAGATGATAGAAGTTGTAGTAGATTTATTAAAACAAAAAACTTTATCATAATTTCATAAAATATATGTTTTAAACAAAAGAAAAGAAAGCAAAACAAACAAAGAAAGCCAGAATAGAAGAAGCGAACTTAAAAATATCAAAAAGAACAAGAGATAAGTCGGTGTTCGTGATTAATGCTCATCAGAGATGGAACAATTTGTATTGTGGTACGTTTTTGTGCTGGAAGGTACAAAATAGATTTGGGCCGTTTTTACAATGAAAAAAAAGTCTATTATTTTAGATTACATGCTGAATAATAGATGAACGCACTTATTTGTCAATGCGTAACACAAAACATGACAGCGACCTTGATTCTCTTTGGATGTAAAACTTTACCTTGAATGAAAAATCTGTCATGCACTTGTTTGTATGTCACAGGGGTTTCATCCCTAGTGCAATGGTGTTTTTTATCGTTAATCGATATATTTTTCAATTGTAGAAAATTGTTGTTGATATAAAAGGGAAATTGTATGATTCGTAACAATGCATCTACACATAAAAATTTTAATTTTTAGAGATTGATAATGATAAAAAATATTATAAACACAATACTCTTATGGATTGTGCTGCTATTTAGCGTAAATGAATACATTTCAGGTAATAAGTGGAGGATTTTTGCACGTAAAGGAACAGAGCTATAAACCCGTTGCGCCGTTATTACATCGTTTTGCTCATGGCTCAATAAGATAGGTTTTTCAACTTCGAAGAAACAAGGAAATGCAACTCTGCACCGAAATCTTATCAAAGACATAGAAGTATAAAGATGGGACAAGACAGAGTCAAGATATGACAACCCTGTGAAAATACCTCTGTTGTTATGATATCGTAACAACATAGTTAGAAATGTTATGCGATTTAAACCGCTTAGGCAATATGCAATTAATTTGGAAAGTCTATGGAATAGAATTTTGAAACCCAATTTTTGGATTTTTCAAACTTTAGTTTGTCATTTTTTTCTATAAATATATTTTTTTATATTAACATGGTCCTGCCATAAACTGTTACCCAGACAGTATAAACACAAACCATTTGCTCAGAATGCATTTTGTCTAGTCTTTACCATTTTAGGTCTTTGATCTTATAGTGTCAAATATATTTTTAAACAGACAAAACAATTGGTTTTTCTATTTTACTTTTTTTACAAACCTACAATTTTGGGGAACACCCACAAAATATGAATGAAATATTGGGGTTTCTCCACAATATTGAATCTAAGATAGAAGGATAATGTTGTTTCATAATATAATAATAAATTTTTGTTCTATTACAGAACCTGCAGGGAAAATCGGTTATCGTCATGAAACATTAATACGTCATAGAATGTATTTTTAAAAATAAGTAAATTTTTATAAGTTTTTTATACTATACCAATCGGAGGTTGTTATGACATGCATTTTTCAACGATTTTTACAAACTTGAATAATTTTTCATTCAAAATTTTCAATTTCAAAATTGGTTTGACAGTTCATTGTCCAGCAGCTGCGTTGATGCAAATACCTGTATTCTTCTACCATGGTTATCGTAGTAAAAACTTTTACATTCTTGTAGTTCAGGAACAGACCATTTTTTCCATCTAATGAACCTGCAAGAATATGCTATTTTTGCAATTTTTTCGATTCCATAAAGGGAAAATCGGTTATCGTTCTAAAAACGTTCCTGCAGTTCTGGAACAGACCATAAATTTCAAATAATTTCAAATTATTTTCTTTTGAATTCAAAACTATACAGACACATATACAAAGTGTATATGTTTTAACAGAATAGGGACACCAAAAAAATGTACTTAGGACCTAGCATGGCATAATAACAGAGCCATGGGGCCTAGCTTTGTTTTACCTTCATTAATTGTGCCATGGTTTTGGCCATGGTGGAAGAATGTCATTGCTCTGTTCCGGAACTGCAAGAATTTAGCCCTTAATTCACTTCAAATGCAGAAAGATACGCCTAATGTCCCAAATTAAAGTTATTCCTGCGAGCGAATCAGATCAAATTTCATGATCGAGGAAAAAATAGAAATGTTTGCCTTGACCAATGCCCAATGATATTTTGCAGCCCATTTGTATGCAGCGAATCCAAACTTGTTTGACAGATCGTTTGGTAATCAGCTGCGCTTGAAGGGGCGATATTATACTTGGATCATGACAGACGACTTCCTGTAAAAATTTTGCAACAGATGCTACAAACCAGACACACTTTTATTGTCAAAAGTTGTCTTCATGTCCGACTTTTTATAGGCCTTGCGAAAAACTTTACTTAAACAATTTGTTCAGTAATGTTTTGTGGGTTTAAAAAAGTTGCATTTTCACCACAATCTAAGTCATTTTGCAGAACCATATTAGCTTTTATCCTCAACTAATGGCCCATGTTGAACATACACCTGTGCCTATAGTATCTATGCACATACTGGCACTTCTATTAATGGTTTTGCCGTTTAAGGGTTAAAGTTTGCATTAATAACAGTCAATTGTATAGATAGCGAAGCGAACACACAGATATGGTAAGCCAAAACCGTGATATTTTAAACGAAATAACTTAAGATTGCGTATATTTTAAAGAATATTGAAAAGTACAAATTTATTTGTAATATATATATAATTGTATATATAAATATGATTTTTGGTGAAAGCTTATTTATATATGTGCAACAAAAAATGAAAAACAACAACAAAAATAATAGAAAGAGTGAACTTGGTGTAATAAAGATATTCACTTGTATGGCTTCAGATACTTGAATACGGATATATGTAGTGTGTACGAGTGGAAATCTTGATAGGTATATATGAGTTTTTTGGTTAATGTTCCTTTGTTTCCCATCAGTAATATTATTATTAGCTCGGGGTCAATGGCTCCGGCTATCATCTTCCCGTTAGAATTGTTCTTCTCCGAACTTTTTAAAAATATGTATTAACGATATCTTGTAGTGTGGGGATTGATTGTAAACAATGAAATTAAATGCCCGCAATCACTACGAATTTTTTCTTTTAATCAGACTTGTTGATTTTAGAATTTGTTTAAATTTAATCCTGCTGCCACTGTAAGAAAATTTGGAATACCAATGAGTATTTTTGAGGAATATTAATGCTCTGTTCCAGTAAATGCAAGAATCTACTTGTTTTGCAATTTTTTCGATATCGTAAAGGGGAAATCGTAGTAAAAACATTCACATTCTTGCAGTTGTGGAACAAACCATAAATTTGTTAAAATAAACATACCCTCAATGTGGGCTGGCCACCGGTACGTGCTGCTTCCTCTTCCCGTCTTTGTATCTCTTCGCTACGCATTTGCTGCCTCTTTACACGCTCCGGATCTTTTATACCTCTGGACTCATTCTCTATGCGACGCCTTTCTGCGGCTTCCAATTGTTGCTTTCGCCTAGTTTCCTAGGATTCAGATATAACCATGTATTTGGGTGTTTACAGTTTTATGTATGTGCTACTTACTGGCGATGGCATTAAATTGGATTCTTCCGCGGAGCTGCCAAAGCATGATGAACACAAGCCACCCATTGTTTAATGCGTCGGAATTCTTTCGTTTAATCACAAGGCAAAAGTTAACAGTAATTACGTTGACTCATTATTTATTTGTTTTCTGTTATTATTTTCTTATTGGGATGGGATCACTATAGCGATTTTTGGTGTAGTCGATAAATAGATTTATCGAAAAGTGAAAACACGATTTTTAAACAGATTTACGTATAATTACGTTGTTTTGTTTTAATTTATGTTTCTATTGTTGAAAATATTTCATGATTTTAATAGTAGTTTTAATATTTACTTGTGTTTCTCTATTAAATTGAATAAATCGAGAATGCATGTTTTGTTAACAGCATGGCAACGCTATCGATAATGGTGGGAAAATACTGGCTCTTCTCTTTGTTGTTAAATTATTTGTTTTGTTTTGTTCCCCAAATTCATTCTTCACATTCAGTTGGCGGCTATTTTTTTTGGGAGGTTTGTTTTTTGGTTGAGTTCTTGATTAGCGTATTTAGTGTTTTTCGGCAAAGTGAGAGATTAGAACGGAACGGTGGTAAAGCAACTCGAAGTGTATCCATTAAAATTTCTTTATCAATTCAAAGCATTCAAAGTAAATAAAACAAAATTGCCACCAGAATGTTAAATGTGCCAGCTGAAGGAAAGGTATGTGAAAACGATAAAAAAAAACATCAAGCCAGCTATCAAACAAGAATAATTCTTATTGGAACTCGTTGGAGTATCAGACTTTCTTTTGAATAATAATAATAATGTTATGCAAAGATCCAATGTCATTGATTTGAATAGTTCAAGTTTATTAATAATTTCATAACTGATAGGGTGATGTTTGTTCTTCGAGAACGAATGAATGGCTAGCGGCAACTTTTGTGAATTGTTTGTTTGTGTGCCCGCTGTGTGCATTCACCTTCATGTGACCTTAATGGTAAATAGTTGTCAATGGATGAGGGTTGGCCGACAAATCGTCTTGTGTTTATCCCCCCGTTAAAGATGAATACGTGATCTTGGAACTCTCTGTCATGCCTGCATCTTAGGTCATATTTTGTAGAACTCTGCTGAAAGTTTATAAATGGATTCTTTTATACATTTTAATAACAATTAATTACATTGGGGTTTGATTGAGCAAAAAAACAAAAATAATTGGTCATTATTGCATCATTATTAGAGAAATAATATATTTTGTTATTTTTTATTTTTATAACAGAGCCGCGTGGATCCATCAAATCAATATAAAGCAAGCAAATATTTTTAGAGTGGCGCTTAACTTGTTAAATTTAGAAATGTTCTCCATGGTGATTATTAAAATAGGATTTAATTTGGTCGGGATCTAATACCTAATTAACTATATTCACACATTAACGTATCCCGAAAAGCATTTCGAAACCTCCCCCACAAAAGGTCGAAATTTTCAAAAAAAATATTTTCTACATAGAAAGAAAATTAAATTACACACATCAGAATATTTTTATTAACCCACTGTCTGGTGTGAAGACTGAACATATCGGTTCACTCCTTCACTCCCACAAAGCGTCAAAATTTTGAATATCCATGAAGTATAAAACGCGAAAATAACGTGCGATTCCATTCATACTTGGTACATCTCTGGTACCTCCCCCACGGAGTTTAAGATTTTGAAATTCAAAACGCTCAAAGAAAGCGAAATAAGCACGCAACTCTCTAACACAGGATCATTTATATCTGCCAACCCATTCTGGCACCTCACCCACAATTTTCAATACTTATATCTATCATAACTTGCGAAACAAGTCGGCGGTTTTTTACAACTTGCTATATGTACATATTTCTCTTAACCAGAAATCTGACATAAATATATAATTTATCAGTATTTATGATTTCGCATAAAATTGGATATAAAAGTTCGATTTCCATCAAAATTTGCAAATAAAATACTTTTACCTGTATTAGATGAAGTATGAAAATGGAATACTTCGGTCCATTATTATCCTCGCGCATATTTCCACATTTTCCAAAAATTCTCATATAAAGCATAGGAAGTAGTCGATATTGTCCAAATCTGGCACGTTGTAATATTTATATGAGTCTTTGGTTAGATATGAATTGGTCAATATTGCCCAACTGCTTCGGAACCTCCCCCATAAAGTCAACAGTTTGAAAAATCATAACTCAAGGCTGGGGGTATAAGGCTGACTGATATTATTTTACTCCTTTAAATTTTAATTCTCAAATTTTCGGTTAGCCTATAGATTCCGTGCCAAAGAAAGTAATCCGTGCCAAAGAAGAGAATCCGTACCAAAGAAAATAATCCGGTTGTGAAGACAGGAATGAATCAATCCAATTTCAGAAGCCCTCCTGTGAAGTTAACTGTATTCCATTTAAAGCATTGCTTATCAGAAGAGTCGCAAACAAGTCATTCACCCACTGATTTCCAAAAAATTTGTCCGGTCTTCGCAAAAAAATTTCCATGAATAAAAAGATTATGATATTTTAAATAAATGGTCAAATCCATTTAGATTTATGTAGTTGTAGTTTTAATAGAACGTTGAAATCTAATGGGTGGAATGGCTAACTTCAATATACTTCCAAATGGCATTATTTAATAAAATAGTTTACTGTATATGTACATATAACTTATTTCTTCACAATACACCCCACCAACTGACATAGACTGTGGATACTAGATTAATACCTCCAATATTCTTGCATGTTATCGAACATAGTATAAAAAGTGTTAAATCATTTGTCATTTAAATCTTAAAATTTTGTTTGTTAACAATGACTTGACAGACCCAACCTCCAGAACACTGCCCTAATGGATTGTAAACAAACTAGTGGCAGTTTCATTAACTAATGAAAAAAAGAGATAAAGACGTTTTCAAAATGCACGTAAATACAAATGTATATACATATATTAATTTACAATAAGTAAACAATGACCAGCGTATTTTCGGTATATTTAAACAACACGTTTTGCTTTTGATGATGACAATTCGTTTTTGTTTTTTGATAATTGGAAATCTTCAATAATGCAAATGTTGGTTTCTTGAACACACAAATTTGGTTTTATTAATTTTACCTCATCAAATTTAAATATCTCACTAATTTTTCCATTATGAATTGCTAGAATTCTAACGTTTGAAAAATTATTGTGTTCGAAATTATCATGTTAAGAAAAAATGCAACATATTAACGGAAATTATTGACATCTATGAATGTGCTTATGTTTTTTGGGAATTTAATCAATTTTTCGGTAGTTTAAGGACCAAACTAAATGAGGTACTAACACTTAAATTAACAATTATATGGCACAATATTTACAATTGAGAAAACATGTATTATTCAGATATTCAGAACAATCATGAATATCCGCTCTGAATTCTGACCCGGAAAGGGAAAGAATTTTTCTCGGGAGACCATTTCTCCAATCTGTATATGTAAAAGAGTAGTGAAGTAACTGACTGACTGAGAATCAACACCCAGACAAAACGGCTGAAAACAGAATCTTGAAATTTTGCACGAGGGTCAGTCTTGGTGCGTAGGCGTGTTAAAAAGGGTACGAAAAGTTCTAAAATGTTCTAAAATTTGAATGCTGTAATTTGGAATGAGAGTCACTGATGGAGTGTAGGATAGATGTACCAAAGGATTTTTGCATATTCAAACTTTCAGGTTTTGGAAATGTGTTCCAAGTGTGCGAACTGTACTAAATGTTACTGAAATGAAGCTAACATTTTGAAAAAAATGTTTGGGGTCCCTGTTGGTGGTAGGTTTGTACTGTGTTTGGTACAATTTGGAATTGGGTGAACAGATTGTGGTTGAAATCTGAAAATTCTGAAATTTGATATTTAAATAACTGAATGCGTCCCATATTTGTACGAAAATTACTTAGCTGGAAATTTCAACTCTAGAGCTCAATCTGTAGATCCTCAAATTTGATATTGACGTTTCTGTTAGTATCTGGAATTGAACTTTGGAAGAGGGTTTACTATAGTTCTCTGAAAAGTAATAGCTTGCACTAAATTTGGTATTGTATCATGTCCATGTCCATGTATTTTTGGAAACAAAGTACAGGTCGCATTTATTGCCCGATCCAGATGAAATTTTGCACAGATCATTTGTTTGGCCCAAGGACGAACCCTATTGAAATTGGAGATAATCGGTCAAAGTTTATATATAGCTCCCATATATATTTTCGTCCGATTTGCCTTTTATTGTGCACCAAACGTGTAATATCAGCCCGAATTGTATGGAATTTTGCACATACAACCAAATTAGGCCTGAAAATATGTATGCCAAATTTGATCGAAATCGGTTCAGATATAGCTATAGCTCCCATATATATTGTTCATCCGATTTGTTATTTTTGTCCTCCGCAGCCGTAATATGCACTCTGCAACAACAATATTTAGGGAAATATATCAAATACAGCTCAGAAATACATTTGCAAAATTTTATCGAGATCGGTTCAGATTTGGATATAGCTCCCATATAACTTCGACCGATTTACCTTTTATTGTGCACCAAACGTCTAATATTTGTCCAAATGGGATGGAATTTGGCACATACGACCGAATTGAGTCTAGAAGCTAGTATGTCAAATTTGGTGAAGATCGGTTCAGATATAGCTATAGCCTCCATATATATTATTCATCCGATTTGTTATATTTGTTACCCACAACCGTAATATGCACTCCGTAACAACGATATTCAGGGAAATGTATCAAATACAGCTCAGAAATATCTTTGCCAAATTTTATCGAGATTGGTTCAGATTTGGATATAGCTCCCATATATATATTTATCCGATTTCAAATTAATTGTGCACCAAATGGTCAATACAAGTCCGAATTTAAAAGATACAAATGCTTCGGCATGTTTAGTCCTTTGAACTTTAATTTATAATTATAATCATAGCGTGTATGATTGAATTCTCCCATAAAAACTTTTAATTGTTATGTGGAGCTCTACTAAATTAGCAAAGTGGTGTAGGGTATCATAAAGTCGGCCCCGCCCGACTTTAAGACTTTCTTTACTGGTTAAATTTGATATTTAAGTCACTGTTGGTATCTAGGGTTTACACATGGAGACGTTAAAATAGTTTTGAAAAATTCGTAAACCTCAAAATAAAAGCTTTTGAAAACTTTTTGGAAAAAATGTAAACATTTTTCTATTATTCTTAACGAGTTGTATATATAAAACCTTGAAAGTAGATTTGTTAAGAAAATTAGGCAAATGTTTAGAAATTTATACCCTCCATACTATGGTGGTATTAAGTTTGTCAATCCGTTTGTAACACCTCTAAATATATTAAGTTTGTCAATCCGTTTGTAACACCTCTAAATATGAATATATATTCTTGATCATAAAATTCTAGGTCGATTTCGATCGTCTGTGAAAATCACTCCAGCTTCCGAACGAAATGAAGTAGGTTAATAAAATGTTAGTCAAATGTATATTATGTCTGCAGGACATTTGGTATTGAAAATGGGTCATGTAGGTTCACGTTTTGCCCCCATATAATGGTACCTCCTGATATTCGGTATTTTGATGATTTTAGCAACATTATTTTTCGGAATTGTTTCAAATTTGGTATTTGAAGTTCGTAATGGATATTACAGCCTATGACAGAAAATTGTCAGTGCAGGTCCACGTCTTCGTATAGACCCTAATATAGCTACTACATTCGGTATTTTTTAGATTTTTTACAGAATTTTTAACGGTTTTTTTTTTGAAAATTGGCAAATTCCTTCCAAATGGGGAAGGGTGGTCAAAGTTTGGCCCGGTCGAACTTACAGCTTTTTTACTTTTTTATTGAAAAATTGTGTTTAACGACGAAACTAATTTTTTTGGCTTAATGGATACGTAAATAAGCAGAATTGTGTATTCCAAAAGCTCTAGGCAGAAGCATTCCAAAAGCTACTTATGTATCCAGAAAAAGTCACAGTTTGGTTCTGTTTATGGATTGGTGACATTATATTATATTATATTACTCAAATAATATTAAGCGTAGTGATATTAATATTGTTAATAATAATTTATCCCCAATATTATCAATAAGATTAATCCCACATAGGTTCTTATATGGCGTTATTTACCGCTGCCACCTCTACACATTGTAGAGGGCACTTTGAAAAATAATAATCCCACAAAAAATGCAACTCATTTGTAATCTATCGAGTGGTCTTCTCAACGAGCACTGATTATATCACCTGTCATTATTGGGATTTGCTTTTGTATGGCCCTTATTTTCATTTCTCTATCAGATAATACATTTTCAAAACATTATTTTTTTTTTCGTTCGGACAGATTGATGTGATTGTATTACTCGTCACGCTACAAATTGCTGTTCCCTCGCTGTTGTAAATATAAAAAGCGCAGCATTTTTTTATTTTATTAATTCCCTCCTCTGCCCACTCACAATAAAAAATTGTGCATTATTTTGTGCAATGGCCCATTATTTGTTTTGTAAAAATTATCACTTAAGGTTGAGAAAGGTGTTCTAAATCGCTGGGGATTTAATGTGTAAACAAATAAAATGGGGTTGTATTGTTTTTTTTTTTTATTTCACTATCAAATGATAAGACACTTGATTCGTAAGACGCAATTTGGAAAGACAAGTTAGTTAACCCATTGAATTCCATCCTGAGACTTTGTTGTTGCAGGTATATAAACGGGGTGAGATGAAAAACTACAATCAACTTCAGAATACTGCCATTTCTAAGTCAGCTGTTCGGCAGCTGTTAAAATTATTCCAGTGACAGGTCATTATTTTGTTTACAAGCGTACAAAGGCTATTTGGTGAGAATTTTCCAGAAGAAAATGTTATTCGTGATGGAATTCAAGCGTGATAGTGTGATTTCTTTATATTTGGCTGGAAAACCCCAAGTGGCCATTGTTAGAGCACTCCAGCATTTGAATGTGAATAAATCTTTTGTGTCTCGTACCATCGCTCGTTACCGTGTTACCGGTAGCGTAGTCCGACGTCAAGGAAGTGGAAGGAAGAAAACAGCAACATTGGCAGAAATGGTTCGAAAAGTAAAGAAGCTATTTGATCGAAACCCGCTGCAGTGACCGAAAAATAGCTCGTGAGCTGGAAATGTCGCAATATTCCATTAGGCAAATATTGAAAAATGAGCTCGGGATAAAGCCATTGAAATTCCAAAAAAGTGCAAGAACTTACACCGCAACAGAAAGAAAATAGACTCAAAAGAGCTAAAAGAGTTGCTTCGCTTGGCCAAAAGTGGTGAACTGCCGAATTTGGTTTTCTCCGATGAGAAAACATTCGTTGTCCAGCAGTTTGTAAACAAATAAAATGATCGTGTTTACTTGCCAAAAAGGTCAGCTGAAAATGTGCACATTCGGTGCACACGGTGAAGGTGTGGGTCACCATAACAGCCGATGGTCGCTCTCCGCTCGTACTAATCGACCGTGGCATCAGAATAAATGCCGAATTTTATCGGGAAAATATTCTGGAGGGTGTATTAAAGCCATTTTGGCCGCAGAACTTGGACATTCTAACAGGACTCAGAACGCGCCACCCAAAAATGGTTACAAAATAAGGTTCTTCGCTTCATTTCCAGCGCACAATGGCCACCAAAATCTCCGGTTACTAATCCGTTGGACTATTGTGTCTGGAGTATTTTGGAAAGCAAGGTTGCCACTAAAAATACCAAAATGTCGATCGCCTCAAGCAAGCGCTTCGCCGGGAATGGGCCGAAATACCGCAGAGCAACATTCGGGCAGCGTGTGACGGTTTCATTGGCCGTTTGAAGGCCATAATTCGTGCCAAAGGTGACCAATTCGAACAAATCTAAACTTATTCTAAAATTTGATGCTATTTCCGACTTTTTTGCTTTCATTCCATAAAATTTAAAAAATGTAAAAATTATGGCGTTTGACTTTGTTGTATTTTTTTATCTCACCCTGTATTTGTTCTGCTAGTTATCTCAGGCTTCGATTCTTATTTGGCTGAATATACTTAATTTCCTTCTTTAAACGAAAGTGTACTGTTGGGTTCCATGAAGGGCCAATGATCAACTGATCCGTTTTTGAAAAACTAAAAATACAAAATACTTATCTGATCCCATTAAAAACAAAAAAATGACTTTGACTCCATGGATCGCTTAGGTTAGGTTAAAGCACTCCTAAGGCAACTACGAATCCTGACCTAACCGCTCCACTCGGAGACCTGCTGATACGTTGTTTTTATCCCATCCATGATTATGTGGTCGCATTTGTTCTGATTGTCTAATTCAGGTTGGTGGGTTAATAGGAATGTATTTTCAAGTTCAAAATAAAGACTATTGTTAAGAGTTGCATTTTTCCAAGGCGCTTTTGATAAGAGCGTGATCTATCCACAGCTATATGTGTTCGCAATCAGTTGTAATAATTCCATAAAGCCACTAATTCCCTATCTACTTGAATTTTGAAAAAAAATAACAATGAAAACAATGTCAGTGGAAATTGTGGAAAATTTCCTCAAGAAATTGTGTGTTTTCGAATATTTTATATTCTTATCTAAAATGTCATAATTGTCGTTTTTTTTGGATCGATTTCGTTTTTCGAATTGAAGTTGGCTGATATATTCAAAGCAACATAATAGCAAATCAACGAAGATCGCTAGTTTGGAAATCTCACATAGTCTTATTATAAGATCCTGCTATTCTGTCCAAAATAATTTCAACGTCTCCATATGTAAACCCTCGAAACCAACGGTGAGCTCAATGTGACTCTCGTTCTAAATTTTATTCTGTATTTCTAAAAATCCAGCCTTAGCACCAAGATTGGCCCTCGTGCAAAATTTCAAGATTCTAGCTTCAGCCGTTTCATTTGGGAGTTGATTCTCAGTCCGTCAGTTATTTCACTACTTGTTCATATATATAGAAGATTTCGTATACATCGGGATCCAATACTTGATGACTCAGTGAAAATTCGTTTATTTTTTCTTTTTCATAAAAAAATGTGACGCTCTGTGATGCTGTGACGAAGGCAAAAATCTAAACATATCGTCGTGGTTATAAATCTGTCAAATGTGCTACATTTGTTTACTCTGAAATGTAGACAACTTTTAAGATCGTCATTCATATCCGTACATCTGCTGGGACATACATTTTATCGTCATTGGCTTTTGCAGATTTTGCCATTTCTTTTTTAAGTTATTATGATAAGAAACCATCTGGCTGGGGGCTATATACAGTGTATGGTGCTGCTCAAGAAGTCAATGAAGGCCATGATATGATATGTGATTGGAATTTGGTCTGCTACAAAGAATAATAAATTTTGCAAGGTTTAGGTGGCTCTAAACTCGCATATATTTTCGGGTTACTCCCATAATTCAAGGTTGCTTCTAGGATCTACAAGAATAAGAATATGATGGAGACGAGTGACTAATCTAAGCAAAATTTCTAAGAAAGGGGAAATTAAACAATTTAAAAATTATCAGGCGATTTTAGTCGACGGATGTATACCCTCAGCAAAAGGAGTGGGCAGAAAATTTTTCACAACCGATCTCTTGTTGAGGAAATACCAAGACATACCATGTTTCAATTGAATCGCTGACTTGTATCGCATGTTATTTCGATAAGGCACGTTTTGGCCGTATCAAATGATATACAGGGTGAGATAAAAAATGCTTCAAATTCAAACGCCATAATTTTTAAATTTTATTGAATGAAATCAAAAAATTTCAAAAATAGCATCAAATTTTAGAATAAGTTTAGATTTGTTCGAATTGGTCCCCTTTGGCACGAATTATGGCCTCAAACGGCCAATGAAACCGCCACACGTTGCCTGAATGTTGCTCTGCAGTATTTTGGTCCATTCCCGGCGAAGCGCTTGCTTGTGGTGAGCGACACTTTGGTATTTTTTAGTGCCTACCTTGCTTTCTACAAAATACTCCAGACACAATAGTCCAACGGATTGGTATCCAGAGATTTTGGTGCGCCGGAAATGAAGCGAGGAACCTCACTTTGTAACTATTCTTGGGTGGCGATGTTGCTGTGTGCTGTTGGAATGTCCAAGGTCTGCGGCCAAAATGTTTGCGTGGCCAAGGCTTTAATACACCCTGCAGAATATATTTGCGATAATATTCGGAATTTATGCCACGGTCGATTAATACGAGCGGAGGGCGACCATCGGCTGTTATGGTTTATGGCATCGCCATGGCCGGCGCTTGAGTTCTGATTGTCAACCGAAGGTGCACATTTTGCGATATGTTCACCACTTTCGACCAAGCGAAGCCACTCTTTAGCACTTTTGAGACTTTTTTTTCTGTTGCGGTGTAAGTTCTTGCACTTTTTGGGAGCCATTAAAAGCCATCCTAAGCTCATTTTTTAATATTTGCCGAATGGAATATTGCGATATGTTTAGCTCAGGAGACATTTTTCGGCCACTGCGAAGCGGGTTTCGATCAAGTCGCTACTTTGTCTTTCGAACAATTTCTGCTGATGTTGATGTTTTTTTCCGTCCACATCCTTGACGTTGAGCTACGCTACTAGTATCACGGTAACGAGCGATGGTACGAGACACAAAAGATTTATTCACATTTAAATGCTGGAGTGCTCTAACGATAGCAACTTGTGGTTTTCCAGCCAAATATAAAGAAATCACACTATGACGCTTGTATCCCATCACGAATAACTTTTCTTCTGAAAAATTCTCACCAAAATGCTTTTGTGCGCATGTAAACAATGTAATGAGCTGTCACTGGAATAATTTTAACAGCTGCCGGATGAGTGGCTTTGAAAAGACAGCAGTCTGAAGTTGGTTGCAGTTTTTTAATCTAACCCTGTATATATATACGGAGCATACGGTTCTGACAAACTGTGAGGGGATTATGGTGGTCCGAGATGTATCGATATCAGGGCGAGGATAATGCAGACCCGCGTGCCTACGAGTGTCACATAATTGCGAGAACATAAAATTGCCAATCTAAAAAAGAATTCGGGAAAATTCACACAAGGAGTTTCTTTTGAGTAATTTATCACCTGGAAGAGTATTGTCTATATAGGTCCCATATAACGCCCCGATATTCGCTAGTTTGATGATTTTATTCACAATTTTTAATGGAATTGTCTGAAAGTCCACACAAGGAATTCCTTCTGAATACTTGACCCTCTGAAAGAGTATTTTTATATATACATAAGTCCAACATATCGTATATTCCCCATATAACGGTACCTCCCTATATTCGTTATTTTAATGATTTTAGGTACAATGTTCATCGGAAATTTCGCATTTAAAGTTCCTAATGAGTACTACAGCCTGTGACACGAAATCGCCTATGTAGATCCAGGTCTTCGTATATCCCCCACATAACGGTACCTCCCTATGTTCCGTATTTTGATGATTTTAGGTATTCGCCGAAATTGTTTCATAAATCGTATGGGTCTATGACAGAAAATTGTCTATGCAGGTCCACGTTCTCGTATAGCCCCCATATATCGGTACCTTCTTATATTCGGTATTTTGACGATTTTAGGTATAATATTCACAGGAATTGTTTCAAATTTCTTATTTGCAGTTCGTTATGAGTACTTGAACTTATTTTCGTTGGTGACTTCTAGTGACATTTAATGAAGAATAATTTTGCCTTAAACGTCATGCTTCTAAAATGATGCTTTCTAGGAGAATTTTTCATGAATTCACATATGGTACGACTTTAATTCAAAAATGTGATTTTAATATATATGAACTCCTGGCTTTTGGGTACGACTTAGACTTTTAGTGATTTTTAGGACCGTTGTAATATTTTTTGATAAATTTAGTCTATAAAGTTTTTACTAATTTTTTTTGAAAAAATAAATGCCAAAAAATAACCCTTTGGTGATTTGCTTGAGGGTTAATAATTTCGACCAAAATACATAAAATAAGGGGGTTACAAATATCCCAATAATAAAAGTGTTGAAGAAGGGAAACGTTCTGCCTCCATTTGGGTAGCTTCGCGATGCAAACTTTCAAAATACCGATACCCGTTTCTTCTATTTTAAGTTCCGGAATTTTCCTACAATTATTGAACAAAAAATTCAATTTGTCGCACAGTTTAACTTATGCCTCAAGGTCGACCTATCAAACCATGTTCTGAAAATTATGAATTTCTAATGATGATGATTCTAATGATAATAATTTCCCGTGTGGAAAATATTTATTCTTGAGAAAAAATCTGTATCACCTTAATGGCCAAAGTACCCTCTCAAGTGAAATTGATAAATCCATGAGTATGTCCTCACCGGAATAGCAACAAATCATTAATATTTTGTGGAGCTTATTATGAATTGATATGATTGAAGAACATTCTGATTTGCATTATCACAACAAGCTGATGCTGAAATGCTATTGATGTCTACACACATACATACATATGCATACATACATGCATGACCCTTATAATAAATAATTTAATAGCTATTGTCTCCCTGAATTGGAATATAAATAATTTGGTATTGTAAATTGTACTTGTTCAGACGAACAGACAGATGGACGGACGGACGGACGGTGGGACAGACACACGACAGATCTTACATTTAGGCTATTCTATTTGTTTTGGTATTGGATCGTGTCAACAAAAAGTGTTGCTTGTTTGGGGTGCTTGCTGCCAGCAACCACAGTACCACTAAGTTCGCTATACGTTACAATTGAATGAAAATGAGATAGGTTTTCGAGATATCAATACTCGAACATACACACACACATAATAATCACATATACATGTGTATGTATGTATGTACAGACATGCATTAATACCAATAATCAGTTATAGAATGACGGACACAAATTGCCCGTACCCCCAAAACCTTTATGATAAAACGCCAACAATTACGCACGCCATTAACTGCCGGCACTACCCCCCAAAGTAGGTACAGCAGCAGTAACAACAAGTGCCCATGGCAAAATTAAAAAATTAAAATAAAAAAAAAAACAAAAATAAATAATAACAAAATTAAAAAAAAAATACAAACAAATAAAAAATGATTGTGTCGTCACTCCAGCACTGGGTGATTTCCAGCTGACAGTAGTGCCTAGATTAGAGCCCAGCAGAGAACTCTCCGTCGCTAGTGTGATACGAGCATGAGTGCGCTGTGTGTTAATAACATTTGATTCTGTGGGTTTGTTCTTCCTCTTCTTCAGCTTCTGCTGCGGCTGTTGCTGTTGCTGTTCGACTGTTTGGCGGGGAGACAGTAACGCTCGCCCCTCGTTCGCTTCGGTTTCGTCGGAAATCAGTTTCTATATCGCACTTATTTGTTTTGCTCGCGGAATCTTAACGAACGCTGCCTGTGCCTCCATATCTCTACTATAACGAAAGCAAGTTACTGGCGTTAAAAATAAAAATAATTTGCTTTTTAAATTGGAAAATTCTCATCGGACTATTTCATTCATACATCTAGTCTAGACGCGGACGAAAGTTGTGCTAAGAGAAATAAAAAAACAACAGTAACGCAGAAAACAAATTATTGCCCATTTAATTTTTTCAAATTCGTTTTCGTACTGTAAAGCATCCCCAGTACTTAGCAGCGGTTCTATTAGATGTAAACGGCAGTTACGGGCAAAAAATATATATATTCAAGCAATATTTAATGTGATGTGATAGTGTAGTGTTTTTTTTATTCAATTTATAGAAAATATTGAAATTTTTAGAAAATATAAAAAAATATTAACTAAAAAAATTGTACAAAGTTACCAAATTATTTAAACTGTGATAAAAAAATATTAGTGTTTATTTTAAAATATAAGAAAACAGATATTTCACCAAAGTCAAAATGAGCCGTCCCATTGATATTCTTTTGGAAAGAGTAAGTTTCAAGAATGCAAGTTTAAGATTTATATTGAAATTTAGGGGAAGATTATCTTTCAAATGCATGGAATAATTTGAAATCGACCAACCAAAAATTCCCACCTAAAAACAATAAAGTAGAAATTCTTTGAAATCGGACTGGTTGCAGCGAAGTAATAAAATAGGAAATAACAAGAAAATTTAATTTTGCGACGTAGAGCTATGTCAAAAATTCAGTTCCTTGAAGGATAGACTGGGAGATCGAACCGAATTGCCCAAATCTCAAATACTCTATGTACATATAAAATAGGGAAATTACTCACTGACAAACGCCCAGTAGAAACTGCTGAAGCTAGAATCTTAAAAGTCTTGGTGCGTTGGCGTGTGATAAGTGCGGGTTTTTAAAAACTTGTATTAAAAGAGTGTACGACAAGTACTAAAATGTACTAAAAATTGAATACTTCGTATTGGACAAACGGAATGAGCTAGAACTCTGGAATTTGGAATAAAAGTGAGCCACTGCTCAAGTGCAGGATAGAGTTTTTGGAAATTCGAACTGGGTAAAACTGATAATGAATTTGGGTATGAGAATCTAGGATGGAAACTGAGTTTGGTATATGAAGGTGGTCTTAGAAATGTGTACTACTAAATGGTACTAAATTTGGACAGTTTGGTTTAGGGTGAATGGATGAAGCATGAATTTTGAAATTTTGTGTTAGGGTCCCTTTTGTTGGTAGGCTTACGATAAAGAGGGACAAGTACTTTATACAGGGCGAGATGAAAAAACAGCAACCAACTTCAGACTGCTGTCATTTCTAAGCCACTCGTCCAGCAGCTGTTGAAATTATTCCAGTGACAGTGATATTGTTTACAAGCGCACAAAAGAATTTTGGTGAGAATTTTCCAGAAAAAAAAAATTATTCGTGATGGAATTCAAGGGTGATAGTGTGATTTCTTTATATTTGGCTGGAAAACCATAAGTGGCTATCGCTAGAGCACTCCAACATTTAAATGTGAATAAATCTTTTGTGTTTCGTAATATCGCTCCTTACCGTGATACTGGTAGCCCGCAGCCCGACGTCAAGGAAGTGGACGGGAGAAAACAGAAACATCAGCAGAAATGGTTCGAAAAATAAAGAAGCGACTTGATCGAAACCCGCGTCGCAGTGGCCGAAAAATGGCTTGTGAGCTGAACATATCGCAATATTCCATTCGGCAAATATTGAAAAATGAGCTCGGGGTAAAGCCATTGAAATTCCAAAAAGTGCAAGAACTTACACCTCAACTGAAAGAAAATAGACTCAAAGGAGCTAAATAGTTGCTTCGCTCGGCCGAAAGTGGTGAACTGCCGAATTTGGTTTCCTTCGATGAGAAAACATTCGTTGTCCAGCAGTTTGTAAACAAAAAAAAATGATCGTGTTTACTTGCCAAAGAGGTGAGCTGAAAATGTTGGCCACCGGCCATGGTGATGGTGTGAGCCGTCATAACAGCCGATGGTCGCTCTCCGCTCGCATTAATCGACCGTGGCATCAGAATTAATGCCGAATATTATTCTGGAGGGTGTATTAAAGCCTTGGGCACGCAAACATTTTGGCCGCAGACCTTGGACATTCCAACTGGACTCAGCAGCATCGCACTCAGCACGCGCCACCCAAGAATAGTTATAAAATGAGGTTCCTCGGATATCAATCTGTTGGACAATTGTGTCTGGAGTATTTTGGAAAGCAAAGTTGACACTAAAAAATACCAAAGTGTCGATCACCTCAAGCAAGCGCTTCGCCGAGAATGGGCCAAAATACCGCAGAGCAACATTAGGGCAGCGTGTGACGGTTTCATTGGCCGCTTGAAGGCCATAATTCGTGCCAAAGGTGACCAATTCGAACAAATCTAAACTTATTCTAAAATGTAATGTTATTTCCGATATTTGGAACTTGAATAATTTTCAAAAAATTCCGTCGAAAAATACCGCTCAAAGGGGGATATACGAAGACGCTTTAAAAACGAAATTCAAAATAATTTCGCTAAAAAATGTAGCTAAAATCATCAAAATAGGGAATATCAGGAATATCAGGAGACAATTCTCTTCGTGGGGGTAAAGTACTCCGAAGGAACTCCTTGTGTAGAATTTCAGATAATTCCATTGAGAAATGTTGCTGCAATAATCAAAATACCGAATATCGGGAGGTATCGTTATATGGGGGCTATACGAAGACGTGGACCTGCACAGACAATTTTCTGTCATAGGCTGTAGTATCCATTTTGAACTTCAAATACCAAATTTGAAACAATTCCGGTGAAAAATGTCGCTAAAATCATCAAAATACCGAATATCGGGAGGTACCGTTATATGGGGGCTATACGAAGACGTGGACCTGCAGACGCAATTTTTGTCACAGGCTGTATTACCCATTACCAACTTCAAACTAGGTCTCTTTGAACCAAATCCGATTCAGGACATTTGGAGTCGATCTAGCGATGTCCGTCCGTCTGTCCGTCTATCTGGCTGGTGCACACGATAACTCTCAGAGGGTATATCCGCTTTGATCCAAACTTGGATCATCGTAATATTATTGTCAAACTTAGATCGAGTTCGGAGATGGGCAAATCAGTCCACTCCTTCTGGTACCTCCCCCACAAAATGTCAACACTTAAATTTTGGCATCAATGCTAGGCCAGGTGCTAAAACGGACCATATCGGTCCACTCCATCAAGTACCTCCCCCATAAAGGGTCAAAATTTTGAATAATTATAACTCTTATAAAATCCTATTGTCTTCAAATTACAGACATCACAATAGTTTTATTAACCAAAGGTCTAGTGTGAAGATGGAATATATCGGTCCACTCGTTTTGGTACCTCCCCCACTAAGGGTTAAAATTTTGAATATTCATGAAGCTTATAAAACACGAAATAAACATCCGATTCTATTCAGACTTCGCACAGCTCAATGTTTCCAACAACACTATTTTAATTTTGGCGTCCTTTTCAGATAGATTTGGACTGCATTGTTGTGGAAAATTTGAATTTTTTGGTCCAGAGTTTTTTGAGGAATTGTCTAAATTGCTCTCAACCCTTTCTTACTCATTGGACTTTTAATCTATGGAACAATATCCAACAAGAACTTAAATTATTTTTATAAATTTTTGCACTATTAAACACACCCATTAATAAGCCACTTTGGTATGACCTTTAAAGCTCCTTGGTCAATGGCATAAACCATAAAATAGTATTATCACATTTTAGAGTGTGTACGCATGTGAAAACAGTTTTGTTTTTTTTTTTTCTTTTATTTAGTTATGAAATATTAAAGATGTTTACAGTTTGAAGTGTAGACAAATTTCCTGTTAAAAGTACTTGACCCACACACACCACTCAAAATCTGGAATTTACCCATGGGTAAACGAACGTACGAGCAAACATAACATGTGGAATTTGTATTGCAAGATAAGTGGGGCAGGTACTTTGAAAAAAATATAAAGAAGACAGTTTATATGTTCTCCTAGCTTTTGTATATATACACAAATGTATATAATAACGCAACGGTTTGTATAGAAATGTTTAGTTAATATATTTTAAAGTTATTTTATAAGAATAAAGTAAGAGAACAAATAGCCTTCATTTTTAATGAATATAAATATTCTCAAAAGAAGAACATTTACCTCCATGCCGATATTATTTTCCCTGATGAACTTTATCGCAACTTGTAACTACTTAGAAGAAATCAGTTCCTAATTGACTCTTCAATTAGAAATGTATATAAATTATCTCGAATTTTTGCCCGCCCCCTCCCAGCATAGATACAGATATTTTCAATTTATTGTTTTTCTGCAACTTTTTTGTGAGAATTCTTTATCTGAACATGGATGTCAATGTTCTGCTAAAACATTGTACCGTGTGTGATCGGAAATTGTCAATATTACTGTTTGTACCCATTACGAAATTTGAAACAATTCCGGTAAATAATGAAGCTAATATCATCAAAATTTCAAATGAAGGGAGGTGTCGTTATATGTGGGCTACATATAGGCGTGGACATAAATAGACAATTTTCCGTCTTAGGTAGGTTGTAGTACCCATTACTAGGTAGTCTAGGTAGGTCAATCCATGAACCAATACACGCCACGCGAAATAGTTGAAATTTACATTCAACAGAAGAAGTCAATTGTGAAAACTCAACGTGCTTTTAAAACATTAAAAACTGTGAGAAGTGCGCCTTCTAAGAACACCATTAAGCGTTTATACGAAAAATTTTCGAGTGGTAAGGCTCTTTCTAATCCGAAGAGGCCATATAAAGGCCGAGAATATCGCTGCCGTACGAGCCAGTGTTGAGAGGTCCCCAAGAACATCCCAAAAACGCCGTTCTCAGCAGTTGGGCATGGCTCGGTCCACTTTACAACGGATTATTCGCATTGATTTGCATTTGTTCCCGTACAAAATTTAATTGACGCAAAGAATGTTGCCTGCGGACAAGCCTCGTCGATTGGAATGGGCCCAAAGAGTCATGGGTCCGTCGAATATGGGCAACCCTGTAGTAACCATTATGAGCTTTAAACACGAAATTTGAAACAATTCCCGAAAATAATGTTGTTAAAATCATCAAAATACCGAATATCAGAAGGTTATTATTATAAAGGGGCTATACGAAGATGGGGACCTGCGTACGCAAATTTTTTGTCATAGGCTGTAGTATCCATTACGAACTTTAAATACGAAATTTGAAACACTGTCGCTAAAATCATCCAATTATCGAATATCGAGGGTACCATTTGTATGGGAGCTATACGAAGATGTGGACCAGCATAGGCAATATTTTGCCATAGGCAGTAGTACCCATTACGAAATTTGAAACAATTCTTGTCTATACAGGGTGAGATGAAAAAACTGCAACCAACTTCAGACTGCCGTCATTTCTAAGCCACTCGTCCGACAGCTATTAACATTATTCCAGTGACAGCTCATTATATTGTTTACAAGCGTACAAAAGCACTTTGGTGAGAATTTTCTAGAAAAAAGTTATTC